CAGTTTTATTAATTGAGAGAATTTAATCGGCAAATCTGTGACAATATTAATTTGAATAACACCAATAAAATGAGAAATATTTATATTTATGTAATTTATAGGATTGTTTCAGCAGAAAATCAAAAACGGTATAATGGACTTTTTGATTGCATATGTCTAAACATTAACTAGTCGGGAATTAGTTGCCAATTTATATTGCTGGAACGAAATTTTTCTCTTCTGATCTTTTCTGCAACGCACAGTGGACGGAAACGCCGAAAAGATGGCCAAAATATAAAGGCATTGAGCTATTTTACTAAAATTGTGCATACAGGGTTTTTGTGTCGCTGATCAAGAATCCGAAGTTGAATTTTGAAGAAACAAAATGGCGGCCATAAATCCCCCCAAAACATACCAAAAATCGCCAATTATCACTGCTATTTTACAAAACTTTGTATACAGTTTTCTTGGGTCAAAAATATATACATAGTTCAAAAATTATTATTTAATTGAAGTGAATTCATGTGTTTCATTTGTTTCGGGAAAATTAGGATCTGGGGAATGGAATAAAAATATGTAATGACTTTGAAAATTAATTTTATTCAATTACTATCTGAATTGCATTCATCGTCGCATTCAAAAGGAGCCCACTTTATGGTGCACGAATGTGTATGCATCCGTGCATTCGCCCACAATTTGGTCAATATCTCACAAAGATGCAAAAAGATGCAGCTAATTTTTTTATACACTTTCGAAAAAATGTTCATTGAACACATTCCAATAAGTTTCAAGACCAACCATCACCAACCGCGTAACTTATGGGCTTTTTTGTGGAGTTTATGAATCGTTGCATGTACAAAAATACACTCCACTTCGATAATTATTTACTAATTACCATATAAATAAACTGATCTGATACTGAGATATTTTAATTGTACTTACTTTCTGATGCAGAATCCATTTTTATGACACAGAAAACTGCACTTTGAGAATTTTGCGCTGCAGACAAAATTTATCGATTTTTGAAGCGTTGCGAGCTGAAGTGACGCGCTGCACGGTCGCACAATAAGTATAATTTCCTCGCTCAGGTAGGTAGTGAACCTGGACCGGTATTAACGGTCGCTTCTAATGCTAGGGGTACCACTACAACGATTTAAAACGCTTTCCATTTCAAAAAAAAATCTTCATTTTTTTAAATTTGGCCAGCTTTTTGGCGTTTCCGTCCACTGTGCAACGTCTAGAAAATTCATTGTTTTCGGTCAATTTTTTAAGTGGAAAATATCAGTGTTGTCACCTGGTTTTTTTTTTTTTTTTTTTTTTTTTTTTTTTTCACCAACATTTTATCATTTGAGAAATGCAGAAGTTTTTGGCAAATTACTAACATTCACATTTTATTTTACTGCCAGACATTTTAACATAGAAAATCGACTCCATAAAGTTGAAGCTTTTCATCAATTTGGCTCTTTCAGACAAATAAACAAGAAGAGTATCATCACTTACTGTATTAACCTTTTTTGCTGGCGCCACTTGCAGAATAGACGGTACTCATTTTTATATCTCTCACAAGACTTCTGGGTAGTAATTTAGCACTTACTTTTGCCACTTGAATATTTCTTCTTCTGAGAATTCATTTTAAAAATATTTTAAATAACAATTCGAAAACTGTCACAATACAATCGTTTTTTGACTCCCAGCAAGAACGGTTGCAGAAAAAATATGTTACGCAACACATCCGGAAAGGGGGTAGTCTCACTGAAATACACGGTTCGCTCTGGAAACTTGCCACCTCACTCAGTAAAGAATCACTTTCCAGTCTTGTTACGTAAATAACTATTTTGCTCTCTTTTAGGTGAGAAAGCTTGTCAATGATCTTGTCCAGATAGGTTTATTCCATGATTTCCATATTCCCATTTGGAAAGAGTGTTTAAATTTAAATACAAAAATATAGAAAAGAACTTGCGTACATCCTTGAACTGATTCAATTTTTGCTGTTTTTGCTGTTTCGTCCAATCACACGCATAACAAAAAAATTAATAAGAAAATTTTGGGGACTTTGATGGCGTAAACTTGGGTGATTCATCTGATCCTGGAAAATATCTAATAAAAAAGTATTAAGCCTACAAAAGGAAGCAATGTTGGTCTGTAATATACAAATAATTTCACATAAAATTTGCGTCCCGCACACAAAAGGAATTTAAAATGGCCATTTCAGCATCAAAATAAGTAAAAACATTTTTAACAGGACATTCAACTTTTTAACTTTTAGATTCAGATTTTATTTATCAATTTTAGGAAAACCTTTCTCAAATTTCTCTGAAATGTTATATATAAGACAATATATACATATATTGAAGGCGTGTGGACATGTCTGTTGGGCCTGAAGTCTTGGAAAATCTTGTTTGTCGATTATATAGTTAGTATACCAAAATATATTTTTAAAAATAGCAGAATTGGAACTCTTGATCATTTTGCCTTCGTTTGAACCGGTGCGTGTTTGCCAGACATTTTCTTATTAATAGTTTTTAGTCATTAGTTCCCACATTTTTTATAATTTTGTATATTTTATCTTGATCAAAACTACAGGCGATATAAACGGTGTATCACATTTTTTATATCAAATATCTAAATCTAAAAATATGAGTCAGAAAACATTATTTTTAGTATTACTTTTATATAAAATAAGGTTATGTAAAATGGCACGTAGACACATTGTGGGCTTTATAGTTAAGATCAAATATCGAAATGAGAATGGGTACAGAAAGGAGGAGCTCAACACAGACAGATTTTGTAAAAATAGTTTTCGAAAAAAAAACGTTTTTATTCCTATTTTATCGATACTAAATTGAAAGTCACAGATTACACATAAAAACAAAATATCCAATAAAAACACCTATTCTTAAAATAAATTAATAAAAAATAACAAAATTTTATAACAAATTTTGGAAACCGGACAATAGCAGAGATCAGCTACCTCATATGGTGTCCAAAAAATTCGGGAGAGATGTGTCGCTTATTAATAACGGTTAAATGGGAAAGTTTTGCAGATTTTTTGCGCGTCACTTGAATCCGTTTTCAAATTTTATGGAGTACTTGAGTAGGAAATCCGAAAAACTGAAAGGCCTCGTTCTGTTTCCTTCATAACTACCAAATCATTTAGGCCTCAGGATGTATCCCTCATGTTATTATAACAGGGCCCGTAAAGAGTTAGAACTAATCAGAAATAAAGATTTTTCAAAAAGGCAGTTTCTTATTAAGAGTTTTAACAGCCCTGTTATAATAACATAAGATATTACAGAAGAGTTCGATTATTTATACAGGTTGAAAATTTGCACATTATAAATAAACTGTTTGAAAATATATCTAACACTGAGCAAATATTTCACTTTGTTTCGGAGAGAGACACACTAAAACTTTTGTTATTCTTAGTGGGCGCCATCTTAGATTTTTCATTAAATAGCGTTTTTATGTGCTTTTCAAAGATGTATTATAGCTTCTTAAAATAATTGTGTCTGTCTGGGTACCGTTAATTGATAAAAAAGCTGTTTTTCGACAAGTATGCCTTGAAAAGCATTATTATTCTTATTTAGATAGTGCAGTTTTTCATTTTCTGAAATAATCACCGACGACATCGAATCAGGTTTTCCGAGTTTCCTTGCTAAAAACTGGCAAAATAGCCAAAAATATTTATTTAGTATCAACTAGAATACATCAAGGAGATAAAATTTGTTGATAAGGAGGTAAAACAAAATGCATCCTAAAATAACAATTATTGCCTGCTTCGCCAAAAAAATTCGCGCATTATTGTTGTAAAGTGTAACTTCAAGTTGTACTTGCTGGTTTTGTTGTTACTTTATGTTGTTTCTTTTGCCACTAGACTATCCTTAAAAACACAGGGAACTCTGAACTTTAAAGTATGAAAGATTGAGACCATGGAAGAAAATGAAAATTAATGGTCTAGACTAGCAAGTCCATTCGTTTCTTATTTGAATTTCTGAATGAAAAGAAATGTGTTAAAAATATCAAAGAATTGCGAATTTTATTTGTAATTTGTCTCGGATTAAGATGGGAGAGAAGAACTGTCGATGCCCCAGCGGTTCGGACTCCACAACTGTAGGCCTCGTCCTCTTTACTCAACGCAAAATCCAGGATCTTCTAGGAGTTACTTCGGTGACTTGAGAGGCGGTTAAGAAAATATTTTACAAACTGATAGGAAGAGTATACATGTCACAATAGTTTGATCTAGTATAATCATGGGTATCATCATTTATCATGCCTTTGAAATTATAGTTCATTTGAAAACCTTATTTACAACATAAAAAGCGTCGGCTTCTTTGAGGGTGATAAAGGCATCAAAGAAGACGACGTTTTTTACGTTGCAAATAAGTTTGAAATAAACTGTACCTCCAAATATATTTTAGAAGTAACTGTATAAGTCGATGCAGCAGTCTCAGACAATTTAGAAAGACTTACAAAAGTCTATTACGGAGTCGGGATTCAAGAAAGAATACATCTTTTGTAAGAAGGAAAAGTAATATCCAAAAGGAAGACAAATTGGAGATAATCGTTAGTGAGAACGACTGAGTCAATGTTTGACAACAACTACAGGAAAGTTCTTTAAGGGTGCTGTCGAATCAAATAAGTTGAACAATTGCTGCTTCAAGTATGTGAAACTGATTGCAGAACTGAATGAAGTACCATAAGAAAATTTTACACAAGAGTGGTAATAAAAGCAGTATGAAGATGCTTGCTGTATGAAAAAGCCCCTTGCATTAATCTATGTATGATTATATACCATGTTTTCTATATTTGTACACTAGCATAGGAGGTAGCTCGTTTGATCTCGTACATTCGAGGTACAGGGAGAGCATGGACTGTATGGCTTTAGCTGTGGCAGTCAGTCGCATTTTTGTATCTAGGGGGACTGTAGGAGCTGACCAAACGCTTCCCTATGTAGTGCTTTAAAAAGAAAAACAGGGTATACAAGAATCATAGAAAAGGGCAACGTTAAGCTAATTTTAACTTGTTCTGGGATGGAATCGAACCATCAACCTTCAGTACCGAGTAAATCGCTATAAACGCTTTATCCACTCGGCTACCATTCTCCAGGACTAGATCTTTAACCAGAAAAGATACTTAAATCATCTGTTAAAAAATAATCTAAAGCATGATAATGAGAGCTATAAAATGCCTAAAATAAGGAACAATAATTCATGAAAATATTTTGGTAACTAACAGTCACCTTTTATATAGTATGTCCCAAATTTGGGAGAGATGTGTCGCTTATTAACAACGGTTAAATGGGGAAAGTTTTGCAGATTTTTATGTCACTTGAATTCGTTTTCAAATCTTATGTAGCACCCTTTGAGTAATTTAAAAAAAACTGAAAGTTTGCCTTTTTTTGTTTCCTTCATAACTACTAATCATTTAGGCTTATGATGTATCCCCTTATGTTATTATAATAGGGCTGTTAAAGAGTTAGAACCAATCAGAAATAAAGATTTTTCAAAAAGGCAGTTTCTGATTGGGTAAGAGTTTTAAAAATATTTGTACACTACATAGGGAGGCAGCTCGTTTGAACTCGGCATTCCAAGTACAGGGGAGAGCATGGACTGTATGGCTTTAGTTGTGGCAGTCAGTCGCATTTTGTATCTAGGGGACTGTACGAGCTTGACCAAACGCTTCCTTATGTAGTGCTTTTGAAAAGAAAACAGGGTATAAAATAATCATAGAAAAGGGCAACGTTAAGCTAATTTTTAACTTGTTCTGGGATGGAATCGAGCTAGATTCCTTTCATCCGAGAAAGATACTTAAATCATCTGTTAAAAAATAATCTAAAGCATAATAATGAGAGCTATAAAATGTCTAAAATAAGGAACAATACTTCATGAAAAACATTTGGCAACTAACTTCGATTTGATTGCTTGCCTGGTGAGGTGGTGTATCCATATCCAACAATGCCAATGTTGAAAACTGCATTAAAACCAAGAGCACAAACATGTTTCAAGTAACAGATAGCCCGTAGAAAGTATAACTCTGCGGTGATGCCCCAAACCTTCCGAGTATCCACTTTCTTTAACCTCTTCAGACCCTTGATAGAATATTTGCTATATCGGGTTTTGATTTTTTATCTGTAAGTTTCTAAAACGTGTTTGCGATGACGAATCCCGGTGTAGCGAATACTATATATCACATTCACCACTACCTAGTATCCAGAAGTCGAATCAAATATAGTAAATTTGACATTGATGTCAAATATGGCGAGTGCTTCTTATATAATTACTTGCTTCCTTCTAAATGCGGTAATAGTTTTAACTTAAAAAATCATTATAATTTTGCAAGATATATTTGGCTTAAATGTTTATAAGTATATTGTTGCACTAAGATTATATTTCGGTATATGTTTGGACAAACTAAACTTTTCGTAATGTAGCCTACAATCTACATTAGGTCTTGAGGAAGTAAACATACCTTTACCCTCGATGATTCGAATATTGATATAAAAATCGATGAGGAAGAAGATGGAACTGGACTAAAGTTATTGCAAATGAAAAAGATTTGGACCTCATTGCAGATGAACTTGACGAATTTTCTAATTCAAATGACAACTCCTTGATGACACTTTTCCCAGGCGTAATTTTCCATAAAGATTCATACCAGTTCCACAAATTAATAATACATTGAAATGGGAAAAGTATGGCCATTAATAAAATCGCTGGAAATTCTGAAGATATCGAATCTCCTATTTTCTATTTTTCCAAGTACTCGAATGAAGATTTTTTTGTTGAAATGGCACAGATGTGACCATCGGAAGAGTAGTTGAAACTAGGAAATCATTACGATATAAACAATTTACCTTTATTACATTTGGAAAGAGTTTCTCTGTTTTTAGGTAAATAGGATACTGTTTCAAACTATTTTATGAATAAATAATTTTGTATCTGTGAGAGTAGCAAACGTGTTACATTACGTTTTGTTATTAATAAACAACAAAAATTTAAGAAAATATATTTTATCTAACCCTCTATGAAACGTCAAGTTTTTAATGCATTTTTGACGTTACGAAACGTCACATTTTTCATAACCAGTCCCATTACATAACTGAGTGATGTAATGAATTTTTACGAACTGATTATTATCATTTTCCTATCTTAAAGCGGGATTAGATAAAATTTTTGTACTTAACACGTTATTGAAAAAGTATTCTATGACTCAGGTAATATTACTATTCGTCAAATAAAATTAGTCTTTTCATAACTGGTTACGTAAATAACTATTAAGGTTGTTTGTGCTTTTATTCACTAGATCTAACAAAATATTGTTGTTTAAAAGCAGTTTTAACTCTCGAGCTGAAGATGTTAATGTTTTCCTCGATCGACGGAAAGAATAAAATACTCATTGTATATTAATATAATTAATAAGTTGTAGATCATGTTTCTGTGTAGATTTGATTATTATTATTATTATTTCTTTTTGTATACACTTAGTTCAAACTCCAACCTTCAACAATCACGTTTATTTGCTGTAAATGATCTTGATCACCATATTATGCAATGTTACAGCCATGCTCCCTCTCACTTCTCTATCAGTTACAATCAGTTCTATTTTATTTGCATTACTTTAATTTAATTCCTTCTGCCGCATCAACCATTATGACATAACAATCTTTGTAACTTATATCATCATATCTATTTAATCAAACCAAATTGAGATAACAACCGACTATTGTTTTAATCGCATTATTAAAAAAATAATCAGAAAATTACTGCCGTAAACTACTATCTATGAAACGCCACCTGCCCTATTCTTAAAATTACAGTCGTGGCAATCTGTAATAAGATTATTTTTCCTTTCAATGGTATGCAGGACAGATATTTGTAGAAATCGAAAGTGGGTGACCCATGTACGTTTCATTTACTATCTAGGTTGACCCTGCAACAACTCTTGTTAGTTAAATTCTTTAATGTCGAGAGATTTCTCTCATCATGAGCAATACAAATTTGTTTACCACGAATCTGAGATGTTTCGTAATACTGTAGCGATAATATTGTTGTAATTCCTGCCACCTCCACAACGATAGACAATTGTTTGTTCAGTAAATAAATGCCATTTAAAAAATCTATATGCTTTTGATGGCTAGTGTTCCACAGAATTATTATGCAAATAAAAAAAAAAATTTTTATCTTATTCATCTAAGGCCACGAATCTCAAAAGTTTAATATTATTACAAAAATGTCCTAAGGTAGACTGTATTCACTAGGAAAAGGCGCATAAGTCATAGGTGTGCAAAGACTCATATACGTTTCTAGTAAAAAATAATAGATTAATTATTTGTGTATTACGTAATCATTCTTTCAAACCTAATAATTAACCATAAACTACCTACAAATAAGAATGACAGTCAGATGTATTACATCCTAAAGGTCAATACAAGGATATTAGTCTACCAACTTCAATTTGTGAACGTACTACCACTCGATTGAAATATCCAAATCCCAAAGATCTAGTAATTTTAACGTTGTTGAATTGGGTGGTAACGACGTCAGCCATTGGTTATTTTTTGTTAACCTCGTTGGTCTTAAACAGCTGGTGAGTTTCAAAAAAGCCCTTTCTTCATCACGAAATTAATAAATAACGAAAACTGCCGATGTATAGACTTTTGTTAAAGGACATTTCATTTTGTATGCTCCGAAAATACTTTCAGATAAATCTTGTTCATTACTTCATTTTGTTAATACGGATTTATTGGCAAACTAAACGTCCATATTTGCTCTGTAAGTTGTAATTTACAATTTATTCTATTAACGGGTACGTGTTTAAAAAAATTTGTTCATGATTTAATTGTAGACGTTTTGGTACTTACTCGTTTTGATACTTATACGGTTTGGTAAAGTTTTTTGGTATGGTAGAAAAGCGTATACTTTTTTTTGGATTGAAATTTGGACATTGGATACTTGATTTTAGAAATTTGGCGAATTACTTGAACTGATTTTTTGAGATTATATTATACTGCTTGTCCCTAGTATTGAACTCATAAAAACTATTGTCTTGGAATATTTATATTCACTTACTTAGAACATTTAGTCGAGGGAAATCTATTGAAGGTTTAGTACTCCACCATAGTTGTTTTTTGTCGCTAGGTCGAGCAATTACTTTGGTCCTGGAGCTGCTTTCGCTTTAGGGTGCACGCCTGGGGTGAGGTTTGCATCGTTCTACTACGCTTGAGGCGAAGTTTGTATAGTTCTGCGAGAATGGGTGCGAGGTCTGGCAATCGTTCTGCACGTGGAAAGTGTGGTTTGTCATTATTTTACACGCGTAAGACTGGAGAGCTTACGTACCTACGTAAGCACCGTGTGAAGTTCCAAGTCCAGGTAAACGGGGACGAGGAAAAGTGTTTGAGGAGAGTACTCACCTTTATGCCGCTGGTAGTTGGAACCCCATATTGGTTTTGATTTTTTATATCAACCCCATTTTGTTTAGTTTAAGTTTGATAACGATAACCTTAACCTCGTATGTCACCAAATACACTGTGAACCTTCAGTGTGGCCACATTTAAGGTATTTAAAACCTTGTCTCAATCACTGTTATACACTCTCTGAATAAGGGTCGTGTCTGTAGTAAATACTATAAATAACATTTGAGGTAAAGTTATCGTAAAGTAATGTAAATAGTTTTTATATGTGTTATTCTCTTTGTGAAATTTATATTAATATAGTCTGTTTCATAGTTGTTGAATTTGGATATTTTATTTTAAAGCACTACCTTAAAACGAAATCGAATAATTCATGATAAGTTACAGTTTAAGCCTGGAGTAATTAATTTTATTGTATTGTAATTCAGATAAACTGCGTACACGCCCTGAGATCTGGGATAGTTTTATTATGTCGTGACACTCGTTAACTTATCCGGTTTAAGTAGTGTCTCGACTTGCTAGTATCCCTCACGCCCAGTATTTTTGTGATCTGATACCCACCTACAAGTGTAGGGGCACGAGGATAAAAAAAAAAGGGTACCTAGCATCCTCGAACGTTGGAGGACTTCCTTGACTCAGGCCAAGAATACTGAAAATGGCCCGACGTGGCCGAAACAAGAACGTTGGACGCTCGTAGGTT